TCATGTGCAGCATATGCACTTGCAACGAGGTGACTTTTGAGTCGACTCAGAAGGGTCTCATGTGCAGCATATGCACTTGCAACGAGGTGACTTTTGAGTCGACTCAAAAGGGTCTCATGTGCAGCATATGCACTTGCAACGAGGTGACTTTTGAGTCGACTCAAAAGGGTCTCATGTGCAGCATATGCACTTGCAACGAGGTGACTTTTGAGTCGACTCAAAAGGGTCTCATGTACAGCATATGCACTTGCAACGAGGTGACTTTTGAGTCGACTCAAAAGGGTCTCATGTGCAGCATATGCACTTGCAACGAGGTGACTTTTGAGTCGACTCAAAAGGGTCTCATGTGCAGCATATGCACTTGCAACGAGGTGACTTTTGAGTCGACTCAAAAGGGTCTCATGTGCAGCATATGCACTTGCAACGAGGTGACTTTTGAGTCGACTCAAAAGGGTCTCATGTGCAGCATATGCACTTGCAACGAGGTGACTTTTGAGTCGACTCAAAAGGGTCTCATGTGTAGCATATGCACTTGCAACGAGGTGACTTTTGAGTCGACTCAAAAGGGTCTCATGTGCAGCATATGCACTTGCAACGAGGTGACTTTTGAGTCGACTCAAAAGGGTCTCATGTGCAGCATATGCACTTGCAACGAGGTGACTTTTGAGTCGACTCAGAAGGGTCTCATGTGCAGCATATGCACTTGCAACGAGGTGACTTTTGAGTCGACTCTGAAGGGTCTCATGTGCAGCATATGCACTTGCAACGAGGTGACTTTTGAGTCGACTCAAAAGGGTCTCATGTGCAGCATATGCACTTGCAACGAGGTGACTTTTGAGTCGACTCAAAAGGGTCTCATGTGCAGCATATGCACTTGCAACGAGGTGACTTTTGAGTTGACTCAAAAGGGTCTCATGTGCAGCATATGCACTTGCAACGAGGTGACTTTTGAGTCGACTCAAAAGGGTCTCATGTACAGCATATGCACTTGCAACGAGGTGACTTTTGAGTTGACTCAAAAGGGTCTCATGTGCAGCATATGCACTTGCAACGAGGTGACTTTTGAGTCGACTCAAAAGGGTCTCATGTACAGCATATGCACTTGCAACGAGGTGACTTTTGAGTTGACTCAAAAGGGTCTCATGTGCAGCATATGCACTTGCAACGAGGTGACTTTTGAGTCGACTCAAAAGGGTCTCATGTGCAGCATATGCACTTGCAACGAGGTGACTTTTGAGTCGACTCAAAAGGGTCTCATGTGTAGCATATGCACTTGCAACGAGGTGACTTTTGAGTCGACTCAAAAGGGTCTCATGTGCAGCATATGCACTTGCAACGAGGTGACTTTTGAGTCGACTCAAAAGGGTCTCATGTGCAGCATATGCACTTGCAACGAGGTGACTTTTGAGTCGACTCAGAAGGGTCTCATGTGCAGCATATGCACTTGCAACGAGGTGACTTTTGAGTCGACTCTGAAGGGTCTCATGTGCAGCATATGCACTTGCAACGAGGTGACTTTTGAGTCGACTCAAAAGGGTCTCATGTGCAGCATATGCACTTGCAACGAGGTGACTTTTGAGTCGACTCAAAAGGGTCTCATGTGCAGCATATGCACTTGCAACGAGGTGACTTTTGAGTCGACTCAAAAGGGTCTAATGTACAGCATATGCACTTGCAACGAGGTGACTTTTGAGTTGACTCAAAAGGGTCTCATGTGCAGCATATGCACTTGCAACGAGGTGACTTTTGAGTCGACTCAAAAGGGTCTCATGTACAGCATATGCACTTGCAACGAGGTGACTTTTGAGTTGACTCAAAAGGGTCTCATGTGCAGCATATGCACTTGCAACGAGGTGACTTTTGAGTCGACTCAAAAGGGTCTCATGTACAGCATATGCACTTGCAACGAGGTGACTTTTGAGTCGACTCAAAAGGGTCTCATGTGCAGCATATGCACTTGCAACGAGGTGACTTTTGAGTCGACTCAAAAGGGTCTCATGTACAGCATATGCACTTGCAACGAGGTGACTTTTGAGTCGACTCAAAAGGGTCTCATGTGCAGCATATGCACTTGCAACGAGGTGACTTTTGAGTCGACTCAAAAGGGTCTCATGTGCAGCATATGCACTTGCAACGAGGTGACTTTTGAGTCGACTCAAAAGGGTCTCATGTGCAGCATATGCACTTGCAACGAGGTGACTTTTGAGTCGACTCAAAAGGGTCTCATGTGCAGCATATGCACTTGCAACGAAGTGACTTTTGAATTGACTCAAAAGGGTCTCATGTGCAGCATATGCACTTGCAACGAGGTGACTTTTGAGTCGACTCAAAAGGGTCTCATGTGCAGCATATGCACTTGCAACGAGGTGACTTTTGAGTCGACTCAAAAAGGTCTCATGTGGAGCATATGCACTTGCAACGAGGTGACTTTTGAGTCGACTCAAAAGGGTCTCATGTGCAGCATATGCACCTGCAAGGCCCAGGCACAAACTCCCCCATCCCCTCATCCCGTCACCGTTCCCCCTTCCCCCTTCAACTCAATTCCCTTTTCTAACCCACCACTCTCCCTTTTTTCGCCCCTTACAGCTGAACATGGATCATCTGTTGGCGCGCATGTGGGAGGAGATGGGTCTCGTGCGAGTGTACACCAAGCCACAGGGCCAGCAGCCCGATTTCGCCGACCCTGTTGTGCTCTCCACCGTGAGTTACCGCAATGCATCGCACTCCACCTTTACTTCAACACAATCACCGCTCTCCACCGTGAGTGCATCACACCGGGTCTTGTCTCAACGATGCTGATGGGTCTCGTGCGAGTGTACACCAAGCCACAAGGCCAGCAGCCTGACTGTGCTGACCCCATCGTGCTCTCCACTGTGAGTTCACACCTGCACCGCACTCCACCTCCTTCAAAACTCAGTCACCACTCTCCACCATGAGTGCGTCAATCTGTCTCTCTGGTGGAGATAGGGGCTCGTGCGAGTGTGCCCAAGCTGCAGGGGCAGCAGCAGCCTGACTTTGTGGACCCTGTCGTGCTCTCCACTGTGAGTGCCCTCGTTGTTGTGTGCGTGTGCAAGCACACCACGCCATACCACTCGGAGCAGCAGCCGAACGTTGCTGACTAACACTGTGCTCCTTCCCACAGTGACTGAGTGCTACTCAACACTCGTTCCATCTCTCCCCACCAGATGGGTTCTACTGCCTTCTCTAGCACAATACGTAGAACCAGATGGCTGCTCTTCCTTGCATCTCTTGCTGCATCTAGTGGCCTGTGTGTTTTCATGTTTCAACACCCCCCCCCCCCCCCCCCCCCCCCCCCCCTCTTGTCCCCTGTTTGTCTGCCCGCTTCTCAGGACCGTGGAGGGTGCACAGTGCGGGACTTCTGTGACCACATTCACAGGGGGTTGCTCAAGGACGTGAAGTATGTGCTGTGCTGGGGCATCAGCGTCAAGCACTACCCGCAGCGCTGCGGCTTGGCGCATGTTCTGCGGGATGAAGACGTTGTGCAGATCGTGAAGAAGAAGGTAATGTGCTTCCTTGACTCAATCTGGATGTTGAGAGTGTGCTAGGTGAGGTGAGGCGAGGTGGTTATTCATTCAAGCACTACCCGCAGCGCTGCGGCTTGGCGCATGTTCTGCGGGACGAGGGCGTCGTGCAGATCGGGGAATATAAGGTACAATGTTCCGTCCTGGTTCAAATTGGATGCTGAGTGTAGGTAGGGAGGGCGGGGCGGAGGAGGGGAAGGGGAAGTGGTGTTGAAGGGACGAAGGGGGGGGGGGGGGGGGGGGGGGGGGAGGTGGGGAGGGGAGAGGGAATGGTTTGTTTTCAGTGAGGTGAGGTGGTTACCAAATTACATTATGGATGCGTTTTGTCTGTTACTTGGTGTGGCAGGAAACGGAAGAGGAAGGACGTGGAAGATTCAAGACACACGTTGACGGACCTGCAAGGATAGCTGACCGAGTGAAGAAGGCACCTTTGAAACAGTGACCTTGTTGCTTGTGCGATTATCGCAAGGAGATGTGTTCTGTTGTACTTGTCGTGAAAATTCTGTTGCAATAAACATTTTTCTGTAAGACCTGTGTCCAGTTCAAGCCGTTCAATCTGCCACTTCAGCATCTGGACTAACAAGTAGTGGAGTAAAGAACTGCAAATTGAATGTGACCACCATAGAATGCTGGTTAGTATTGACAATCCTGTGGTACACTTATGAGAGTGTAATATCCAATCAAGATGGTGTGTTTTTATTTCCGATCTCTATTGCAATCAAAGCAGTCTCTGCTGAAGCTGTGCCCATTTCAAGCCAGTCAATCTGCCACGTTGGCAGACAGATTCATGAATCTTGCACCATTCAAGTCCCTTTGAGTGTGCGACCAGTGAAAGACAGTTCCACGTCAGCATGAATCTTTCCACAGAACTGATTCCGAACACGTGCTGGCGATTTGCAACTTCTGTTTCCAACTCGCTACGGTCGCAACCATTCCAAGGACTTCATTTGAGCCCTTACGACGTCGCAATTCTGCTTCGCTGATCTCGGAAGCCTAGGCGGCCTGCAGACGTGGCAAAGATTTGTGGCATCCTGAGTACAGTAGACTGGCAAACAGAACATTCTAGTTTCCCGCCAAAAGTTGGGAATTTCTTGTGACTTCTCCCTTACATCAAAGAAGCATCAGTTATCTATTTGCCAAGACTGATAAGCTTCATAAATACCCTATACTCCCTTCCTGACACTAATTTTCACAGCCTCACACGACCGAAATAGTGACTCAGTTGTCACCGCAGCTCGCTCATTCAGCCAGCTCAGTCCAGTCTCCCCTCGTAAAGACGCCATGGCGGCCCTCAGCAGTTCCATCCCCGCCTTTTCCGGCCTCCGCGCCGCTGCTCCCGCAAAGGCCACCAAGGTTGCGCACAAGGCTCAGTCTGCCCGTCGCGCTGCGCCAGTCCTCGTCGCGGCTTCCACCAGCTGCAGCGAATCCGTTACGTCGCAGCAGTCGCAGCCGTCGCAGATGCTTTTTGCGAGCGTTACCGAGTCCACAGCCGCCGCGCCTTCCGGTCCCGCTTTCTCGCCAGGGGGAGTCATCGTTCCCGCGTTGCTTGGCGCGGGAGTCCTGGGCGGTGCGACATTCGCTCTGGTGTCTAAGGCGGTTAAGCCGGCAGCCAGTGCGGCTCCGGCGGCGGGGAATGAGGCTAATGGCGCTGCCGTTTCGCGCGCTAAGAGGGTAAGCTACGAAGTTTCTCATTCCCTTCTCAAACGTAAGGCTGCAATTCACGCTCTCTTAACTCCAATAAATGGCTTCTACTGGCAAACTTGGATTGAACCCTGCCACTTTTTTATTGCATCGCTTGAAATGTCACATAATTCGAAGAACGGCACAAACAATTCAAGAAGGTCTGAAACAGATCCGTTTCTAAAATCCCTCACCTCCTCCCCTCTCTCCTTCATCCCAACTCCCCTACCTACCCAGGCCGCGCCCGCGGCGCTAGCGACAATGGCGGCGACGTTCCCCAACGCGATGCAGGAGGAGATGTTCATGCACGCCGTGGCGGACGAGCTGCGCAACCTCGGCTTTAAGCGCGACAACTGCATCGCGCTCGTCAACACGTGTCGCGACGAGGTCTGCCGGCCCATCGTGAACCTGATTGATAAGGAGTTTGGGCTCAGCTTTAACATCGCGGGGCTGGGAGGGCTCGTGAACTGCGGCAAGACGGGATTCAAGGCTGCGATGAGCCACTCGCCGGAGTTCCCGTGCGAAACCGACGGAAAGCCTCGCGAACGATGTAAGTGGTAACCCGTTGGAGGGCTGTGGAGACGGGATTGCGGGTTTATACGGGACTGGCATAAGCCATCCCCGAATCTTTCGTGTGAAGCGGCTGGAATTCTACCATAAGATGCAAGATGCTTCGCAATCCCTTGACTACTTTCTTCCTGCTCTATATCCCGCATGCCTTCAATTGCATATTTCCCCTCTTCTCTCCCATTCTTCTCATCCCCTTCTTAACTTCCAGACATCTTCTTCGGCTTCCCCCACGTGTCCATTGGAGAAAGCGGCGAGGTTCGCAACGGCCAGGGCAAACCTGCCTTCTCATTCAAAACGCTCAAACCTTTTCCCTCCGCTTCTTCCTTGCTCCCTTGCAGACATCTTCTTCGGCTTCCCCCACGTGTCCATTGGAGAGAGCGGCGAGGTGGGGTCGCTGCTTCGCCGCGGGCGCGGCAAGCCGTCTTCGGCGTGCGGAGCGCTGATCGCCATCCAGGGCGACATCTCCGCTGGAGGCGAGATCGAGGAGGACCCGAACAACGCGGAATATGTTCTGCTAAAAAAGAAAATCGCCGCTAAGGTGTGTGGAGATGGAGGGAGGCGGGGGGGGGGTTTGAGGTACGGGTTTTTGCATTGTTGAGGTTGAGGGGAGATGGGGGTTGGGTGTGCGGGTGTGTGCATTAGTCAGGGATGGGCACTGCAAATGTGTGCTGGGGACCACTCACGAGGCAAGCCGTCGTCGGCGTGCGGAGCGCTGATCGCCATCCAGGGCGACATCTCCGCTGGAGGCGAGATCGAGGAGGACCCCAACAACGCGGAATATGTTCTGCTCAAAAAGAAGATCGCCGCTAAGGTGTGTTTGTGGTGGGAGGGAAGGGGGTGGAGGCGCTTTGTTTCTTATTGTACTCACGCTCAAAAGAGACCGATGAGGACCCAAACAATGCGGAATATGTTCAGCTAAAAAAGAATATCGCCGCCAAGGTGTGTTTGTGGTGACGGGAGGTGGGGGAAGGAGGGGGGGGGGGGGGGGGGGGGGAGGTTTTTGGAGGGGGTTGTTTCTCAGTGTACTCACGCTCTGATGAGATTGAGGAGGACCCCAAGAACGCGGAATGCGTTCTGCTTAAGAGGAAGTTTGCCGCTAAGGTATGTTCGGGGTGAAGGGAGGCCGGGGGGAGGGGGATTTGAGGTGTGGGGGGTTGTAGGGCGAAAATGGCGGTTGGGAGTGCTGTTGTGTGTGTTATTCAGCGCATATGTGTGCTGGGGACTCTTCTCACAAAAATATTGAAATCGCAGAAAATCAAGTATCGTTGTGATCTGATGCGGTACAGTGACAGTGTAAATGGGCATGGTTGAGCGAAGAGGGGAACAAGGGAGAACGAAGATAAGAATACATTGAGAGTGGACGTATATGGCCTGTGATATGGAATGTAGACAGCAGCTGCCCACGAACTGACGGCTAACCACCAGCAGCAGTGGCTTCTGTATTTATGTGACATAATGGTGTCTGCCTTGTTTTACCAAAATCTGATCGGACTAAAACTTTTTTTTTTCCTCCCCTCCTTCCCCTCCTCCCTTCCTGTCTCACTGACATTGATCCCCACGCCCCATGAACAGATCCCCCCTAGCTCAGGCAGCCCTTCCCTGGTGCAGGTGACTCGCGCTGCTCTGCAAGCCATCACTGACGACCTGGAGAACCTCATCTCCCTTACAGTCGACCCCGCTACAGCAGACTATGCTGTCATTACAGGAGTGCAGATTCACTCTGGGAACCAGGTTCCTGGGGAGGAGTTCCGGATTGAGCGCACTTGTGATTATATCGCTCCAAACGCTATGTATGCAGTCATCAGGGGGGAGAAGCACATTCTGCACTGCGAGGTGAATCAGATCACAGATATCAGATCGGTGCCTGCTGACCAGTTTGCTGCCTGAAAGGTAGTTTGAGCTTTGCAATATCACCAGGAAAAAAAAAGGTCTAACCTAGCTTGATGTGCATGCCCCCTTTCAATCTGTCGATAATGCAATGTGTAACGCTCCGTATTATACTGTGTTCAAATCCACGAACAATCATTTTTTTTCAAAATGTCCCTAAAACTACTTGATGTTCTTCTCATTTGATCATACGGAAAATCAATGCACTATCAATGGCATCAGCTGTTCGCTAGAATGCATGGCATAGCAACGATCGGCAAGTTACGGTATCGCGTACAGAGTCGACAATGCCGTCGCTAAAGCATCGTACTTGTCTAGGCTTCATTAGTCCCCCTCACAGCCACAATATCAACAATTTTAGCGTTCATTCGCAAGTGCGCTCTACGTGTCGACAATTCGGCGTGCTCAGAGTCGAACTCTTGTTGTTTCTCAGCCCGCTTGAACTTTCCTGTTCAGCCAGCGCCCGTCGCTTCTTGCGGTTGTTCGAGTCTTTCCACCGTCCTCGCCACCATGAGTGCGATGAAATTTTGTCGCGAATGGTGGGTTCTCGTCACCTAGCTACCCGGCCGTCTCTTTCGGTACACAGAGAAGCTCAACTGCTTGAAATGCCCTTGCGCCCGATGCTCACTGTTCGTTCATATCCATAGAGACGTGTCAGTCGCGTCTATGCGCCTTCTCGTCGAACTGCGCACGCCAGCCGTTCACACATGCGCGTGGTGGTCATGACGGATACATCTCATGTCGTAAATGTGAACTGCTTATATGCGTCCCTCCCTGTTCCATATCTCACTCCATGCCCTTTTTCCCTGCTTCTAATTCTTTCCTCCGTAACCTCCCTACCTTGTTCGTCCCTCCCCCATCCCCCTCCCTCCCCTCCTTCCCCTCCCCCCTGCCGCTCCCTCCCCTGCTCCTTCCCGGCCCTTGTCGTTTCTTCTACCTCCATGTGGTATGCAGTAACAACATTTTGTATCCGAGAGAAGATAGAGAGAACCGCGTATTGCTGTATGCATGCAGAAACTGTGACCATCAGGTTTGTCCATGTACCTTATTTGAAGCACTCCTCTTTTCTTTCATGACCGCGACCTTGCCTGGGGAGTCTGAGGGTTTCTAGATTCATTTACCTGTTAGCTGTGTCACTCCAGCGTCACCCTCCCTCCAACTTCATATCCTCCAGCTTCACCCTCCATTCATGCTTATGCTGAAAAACAGGAGGCAGCAGAGAACAATTGCGTGTATCGCAATGAAGTGCATCACACTGCAGATGAGAGAACGCAGATCCTGCAAGATGTAACAGCAGATCCCACACTTCCTCGCACCAAGGCAGTTCGCTGTGCCAAATGTGCCCATGGCGAGGCTGTGTTCTTTCAGGTATAGCCCACCATGATGTAGGCCCTTGGTTCAATTTGCATCAGAGTCTTCCTCTACATTGCTGGTTAATTCTCTCTCATCTGTGTTTGTTTTCTCCTCGGAACGTGTCCCTTACAGGCTACAAGTCGCGGGGAGGAAGGCATGACACTTTTTTTTGTGTGCTGCAATCCCAACTGTGGGCACAGGTGGCGAGACTAGAGTTGGTTAGATGAAGTAAGGTAATGATAATTTGATGTTAGCCTTATTTTTTAGCAAATGATGTACCAGTACAACACTTCCTATCAAGAACACTTCAGTACAGAAACTACGGTACCAATGAATTTAAGGTTCTATGAAAACTGGATCAATTCGTCCTGTCCACTAAGTTCAAGCCAAACATGGCGAACGCAATGCTTTGGAGAAAGAGGAAGATAGAGTAATCCCAGCGGTCTTCCACAAAGATCGCGTACATCCCCGCACCCAAAATAAAGGCAGCCATACCCAATTCCCTCTTGTATATTCTGCAGGAAAGAAGACATGAGAATATTAGGATAAATTGTGGATAAGAGAAGCAATGTCTGCTCTTGGAGCATTCACTTACGTGCGGTTGAACCAAGAGCTCTTAGAATTCTTGGGCTGGGCTTTATCTGCTCCTTGCTTCACCAGGCCTTCAGAAATGACTGGGAGACTCAGACTATGTGGAATGGCTCCAGCTTTTCCCAAATACTTCGCCAGCCCTGTCTTTGCAGTTGCTGCATCAGTCTGGACCCAGTTCCCAAGCTTCTGGGTTACAACCCACGAATGAGCCGTAGATAGGCCCAGGATTCCAGAGACCATTGCGGAGAACTTCACAATGCTCATGGCATTCTCAAATAGAACAAATAGCACAGTGTACAGCCACGACCTAAGACAGCAGCCAAAATTGTCATTGTACCGTACACGAAAACGAGCAAAGCAGTTGCAGTTATGACACTTACCTTGGAGTGAAAGCCACTGTTGAGATAGTCACCAGGATGGGCACATAAACCAAAGCCCAAAATGGGATCGTCACTTCAGGAGCCACCACACAGATCGGTACCAATGTGCAGTAGAATATAAAGGACACAATATGGGTGGCGAACAACCTTGTTCCAAAGAAGAAGCAATTCAGGTAAATCTTTTGAACAAGTGGGATCTGAGCAGGGGCAAACACAGTTAGTACAACTGCGGTCAACATAAACAACTGGCCGCTGCTGATTTACGTACCTCAGATTCCCAGACTTGATCCATAGCTTTTCTCCAGAGTTGCATTGGCCCACAGCTCCACCGGTGCTGCTGGTGCCTGAAAGCTGCATATGTTGATGGAATCTCGTTAACACACTGCACACATGACAATGGCACGGGAGGGAGGGCACGTCAGTGAGACCATTCAGACCACAGAAAATAGAGTGGAGCAAGAACGCTGGCTTACCGTTACGTCATTCAAGAATATAAACTTCCAGCCTCTAACGTAAGCTCGTAGAGAAAGATCCATATCCTCAACGGTTGTCCTGTTATTCCAGCCGCCTGCATCCTTGATTGCAGAGAGCCTCCATACTCCAGCCGTTCCTGCAGCCAAAAAAACGCTCAATAATTAGTTACTGAGGCACGTGAGAGAAACGGACAATGTGTCACCTACCGTTGAAATTGAAGAAGTTGCCGGTTGCAAATCTGGCATACTGTTCGCACTTCAGGTGATAATTAAGTGAAATCTCTTGGACTCGAGTCAAGACGGACTCGTCCGCATTGGCAAACACCCAGCGTGTTTGGACAAACGCAGCCCGCGGATTGTCCTGTCCGTAGCCGATACAGTAAGACTTGGCCGGAAAGAAACAAAGCTAACGCGTCTGAGGACTTACAATGAGATATGGAATTGTCTTAAGAAGGAATTCAGGCTCTGGGCTGAAGTCTGCATCAAATATAGCTGTGAATTCGTAATCTCCAAGTGCCTTCTCAGCCTCAATCATTGCTCCAGCTTTATATCCTTGCCGATTGGATCTCCAGCGATCCTCCACGTGAATTCCAAGAGCTACCTTTTCGGCCACTGCAAGGAAGGAGAGAAGGGTCGATATGATGCTGCGCGACTGGAAACATGCGGAAGAAAGAAAAGTGATCTGATACCTTTCTTAACCACCCTGCAGCGAGTGATGGGGCAGGTTGAATCGTCCAATATCTGGATGTACAGGCGCGATCTCGGCCATATCAGCTTGCAACATGAGTCAATCACTTGCTCGCACACCTGCAAGGTAATCATAACAGAGCACGTCAAACAGTGCGGGACGTAGAAGCGATATGCGTTCGGAATACCAGATGTGGCGCATACCCTCACCTCTTTTTCGTTGAACATAGGAATCTGAACAACAACTTTGGGAAAGGCCTCGGGACAGGTAGCTGGATCTGGCAAGTTGTTCGCTTCGAAGGCTTCCTCTGGGCGTTTCTTGGAGAACTTCCAGTACAAGGCGACGTAGAAGTGGAAAAGACGGTCTGCAGCGACCAGCGACGAGAGGAATGCAGTAACTCCCACAAGAATTTGCAAGACAGGAGAGAGAAAATTGATGCGAGCCTCCCTTCCTTTGACCATCGCTACCACCAGATGACCCTTAGCAGTGTCGATGTGCTTCTTCATCGGACCATTGTCACCCAAGAGATGGCTGAGGAGAGGTTGGCCATGAAGGATGAGTAGGGCGACAGCGCAGATGGACACTATCGCCACAGGCACGATGGCTGCTCCCCGCGGAAGCATCTTGCCTGGGTGGTATGATAACTCTCTGCAGTCGTGCCTCCAGCAATCCGACACGACTCAGAGTGCAGGAGCAGGAGCCACTTGCTCGAATTTGAAAAGGCAAGCTGTACTCGAGTGAAGAAGTACCCTGCAACTCGACCCTTGAAATGCGAAACCGCACTCGGCATGCTTGATGGCGATCCCTTGGGAATCGCTGCTGTGATTGAATGCACAAGGAGTGAGGAGACATCGACGAATTTGGTCATAGAACACACATGCTGATAAGAGGAAGCCCAGAAGTACACTAAAATTCTGGGAAGTACAGTTGGATTTGATGGCATTGTTTGATCACTACACTGCGCGGCATGATAATCTATGTGTTATGAATGAACTTGCAGAGTGCGCAGAATATCGAATAACGAGAATGAACTGATTACCGAATTACTGAATGGCGATACAATGAGAAAGGCACGACTAAATAGGGGAAGTCCTAGCTAGGCGGAGAGGTTGGGCGAGGATGGCTCGGTGATGGTTGCGATTGGAGCGGAGGCGACTCGGGAGTGGTTCGGTGCGACGAAATAGGAAGGACAGGTTCGTCACGTGACCCTCGGGATGGCCTCGCTAACGAGTGCCTCAGTAAGGATTCTGTAAATCCTTACACTATGCAGCAGACGTCCAACTATATTGTATCAAAACATATTGTTATAGTACCAGTATCTATTGTCACAAGAGAAGCATTACCAACTGAGGAAGGTAAGATTGACTCAATCAATGCCTCAGATTGAGCTATGGATGGAACTATCCAAGGTAATAAAATGTTTACAAAAGGGGGTGTGTGTTTCTGGAGTCACATAGAATCTAGTATAGAAGCAAAAGCTTATGGATTTCGTTTAGAGAACACCCGTTTCTTCGAGGAGGTCCTCTGGCTGTCAAGACTGAGGGTGTGGCAACCTGAACGAGTTTTACCGTTCTTCAAGGTTGTGTCCTACATGGTATCAAACATTCGTTGAGGTGCAAGCTCATAGTCCTCATGCTCCCCGTACCGAACATTGCGCTCGCGTGCATGCACCTGCAATGGGGAGATACCCATGGGAAGATACCCATCAACCACAACGTGCGAAAATAGGGAGTAATAAAGAAGAGAAAGACATCAAGTGTGGATCGAGGAGGCTCGTGGGTGAGAGTGACGCGTGGAACGGCGCACACAAGCACTGTGTGGCCAATTAAAGGGCTTGACACAGAACGGAGGGCAGTGTGCAACGCGTTTGGTGTGCCGTGAGTACTGTACTGAGCTGAGCAGTGACCAGTGTGCACACACCCGTGTGAGGTACGTTCGGTCAGAGGAGATCTGCTCATGGACCAGCGCCAGCTTCTTGGACAGCTTCGTGGCCCTGCACACATTCACACGTGCAGCACAAAGGGTTGTGACACATGTGAGAATTCTCAAATATGAGGAATGTTCAGTTTGAGGAGACATGCTCGCGGAGAAACGCCAGCTTCTTGGAAGTCTTCATGGCCCTGCACACTCATAATGGAGCATTCATGAAGAAAAACGGATGCACCTTCACAGTGCAGCACGCATGGTTCATGGGGATACCATGGACGCACACTCACAGTGAAGCACCCATGCAACAACATTGGATCGGATCAGCCATGGGTCAACAACAATAAAATTAAAACAGTGCATCAACTTTGGATCAGCAGAGCATAGACTTTACTGCGAAAAAAAAATTCAGAGTACAAGTGAGAAGGACATGGAGTGTCGACTGTGAGGGAGCATCTGAATGTGCCTCTCACATCTGAAAGAAAGAAAAGAAAAGAAAAAAAAAAAAACGAACTTCATGAATTTCATCTTACCTCTGGATGTGCTCCTCCACCACAGCAGCCATGGCCAGCGAGTCGTACTTCTCAGGGTCCTCCTCAAAGCTCACCATGCCCGCCTGCTGGTCTATCCTCGCAAACATCTCCCCATCTGCTATCTGCCAGGCACACAGCGAGAGGTGAAGAGTCACACAGGAGGCCTTTGAATTGACTCCAAAGCTCACCATGCCTGCCTGCTGGTCTATCCGTGCAAACATCTCCCCATCTGCTATCTGCCAGGCACAAGGAGGTACATGTGCATAGCCACATATGCTTAGACACATACAACGCCCTCCACTTGACTCCAAAGCTCACCACGCCTGCCTGCTGGTCTATCCGTGCAGAAATCTTCCCATCCGCTATCTGCGACACACACAATCATACTTTGCAAGAGTTCTTTAACAGTTTACCTCATGGGCTACAGGCCTGAGGCTATGGATGATACATGACAGACCGGAGTGGGGCACATGAATTTTTTTTGAGACACTCGGGAAAAAAAAAAGACTCAGGAGAGACCTCATGGTACCATGACTTGAAGAAGGAAGGCAGTTAGGTTTTTTTTTTTTTTTTTTGGAAGTGATTATTTTTGTCTCACCATGGAAAGGAGGTATTTCTCAGCCTCGGCAGGCGAGGACAGGTGCACCGACTGAGCAAGGTCGGAGAGGGAGAGAGTGAGGTAGGTGTGCGTGAGACGCTGAATGCTGCGCTTGGGGACCGATGCAACAACCTGATGGGCCAAGCCTAGGTTGTTGTCCTGGGAAGTGAAAGGGAACGGGGAGAAGGGGAGGGGAGGAGAGAGAAGGGGAGAGAATAAGGGTGTGCGAGGAGAGATTGGGAGTGATGGATGCAGTGCGATAAGCTGAATTCTCGTGGATAGTGCAACACAGTGTGTTGGTGCGAGCACCCACTCACTGCCTTGAAAGCTCCCACTCACTGCCTTGAAAGCTCCCACTCACCGCCTTGATGCCTCCCACTTACCGCCCTGAAGACGTGCTCGTGCGAGTCGACAAAATTTTTGAGAGCCTAGAGTGCCGGTGGCATGGCAGGGCACACACACAACAGCTGAGCGCGTTGGTGCGAGCACCCACTCACCGCCTTGACGCCTCCCACTCACTCACCGCCTTGAAGGCTTGCTCGTGGGAATCGACAAACTTCTTGAGCTCTGCTGCATCGCGAGACACGTAGATGTTCGCCAGGTCGTGATAGTCCTGGGAGGGGTGAAGAGGGATGGAGAGGGATGGAGAGGGGTGGAGAGGGGTGGGCAACGGATTGCAGAAGGAGGACTCGTGGAGAATGGGAGAGACTTAAAGCCAGGTCACGAGAGTCCTGTGGGTGGAGGGGTTGTGGGCTGATGCAACCAGATCACACCAGTCAGAATACACAACAAAAAAGCATTGTGTCAGCAGAATGTGAATGAATACGCACATGTGCCCTCTCTCACCCACCTGGCAGCATGCCTTGAGTCCTCTCTGCACGATGCCTGGCGTGAACTTGGGTAGAGGCGACAGCTGCTCTCATGAGACCGTGGGGAGTGGGAGCGAGGGAAGGAGTAAATGAGGGAGCAAAGGAAGGGATGGAGAAAGGGAGTTGTTCTAGCCCTCTCTGCACGATTCCTGGAGTGAACTTGGGTACAGGCGACAGCTGCTCTCATGGCACCATGAGGGGAGGGAGCGAGGGAAGGGAGCGAGAATAGGGAGCAAAGGAAACGGCGGGAGGGATGGAGAACGGAAGGAAGAGTGTTGTTCTGCACCATTCCACTAATAAACAGCAAGAATGAATTAACTACTAGAACTAGCTCAAAGCCTCCTTGCTGATACAGCACCCTTGCTAGCACAACAAACAAGGCACACACCACACCGCACGCGACCGCATCACACACCTGTGCGTGCAGGATGAGCGACACGAGCATGTGCCTCTTGTATGTTGCCACTGTGACGGCATTCCCCGGGCGAGCAGGAGATGGCAGCACACCACACCAGACCACACCACACCGCACTGCACCGCAATGTGCCACACTGTACCCACCTGGGCATTCAGTATGAGCGACAGGAGCACATGTCTCTTGTATGCCGCCACTGTGATGGGATTCATGGGGGACGGAGGAGATGGCATCACACCGCAGCAAAGAACACCACACCATACCTCACCATACTGCACCCCACCGCACCTCACCGCACCACACACCTGGGCGTTCAGGATGAGCGACACGAGCACATGTCTTTTGTATGCCGATACTGTGATGGCATTCACGACTTGTGCTGGGGATGTGATGGCCTGGCAAAAGGGGGGGGATTGGTTGGGAGGTGGGGGAGATTGAGGGAGAAAGGAGGTTCAAAGAAGGGAGGAGAGGGGAGGTTCAAAGAAGGGAGGAGAGGGGAGGTTCAAAGAAGGGAGGAGAGGGGAGGTTCAAAAAAGGGAGGAGAGGGGAGGTTCAAAGAAGGGAGGAGAGGGGAGGTTCAAAGAAGGGAGGAGAGGGGAGGTTGAAAGAAGGGAGGAGAGGGGAGGTTGAAAGAAGGGAGGAGAGGGGAGGTTGAAAGAAGGGGGGAGAGGGGAGGTTGAAAGAAGGGAGGAGAGGGAGGTTGAAAGAAGGGAGGAGAGGGGAGGTTGAAAGAAGGGAGGAGAGGGGAGGTTGAAAGAAGGGAGGAGAGGGGAGGTTGAAAGAAGGGAGGAGAGGGGAGGTTGAAAGAAGGGAGGAGAGGGGAGGTTGAAAGAAGGGAGGAGAGGGGAGGTTGAAAGAAGGGAGGAGAGGGGAGGTTGAAAGAAGGGAGGAGAGGGGAGGTTGAAAGAAGGGAGGAGAGGGGAGGTTGAAAGAAGGGAGGAGAGGGGAGGTTGAAAGAAGGGAGGAGAGGGGAGGTTGAAAGAAGGGAGGAGAGGGGAGGTTGAAAGAAGGGAGGAGAGGGGAGGTTGAAAGAAGGGAGGAGAGGGGAGGTTGAAAGAAGGGAGGAGAGGGGAGGTTGAAAGAAGGGAGGAGAGGGGAGGTTGAAAGAAGGGAGGAGAGGGGAGGTTCAAAGAAGGGAGGAGAGGGGAGGTTGAAAGAAGGGAGGGCGGAACACGTTTTTTCTCCACTCATCGAACCCCACTCACATGCATGAAGAGGTCTAGGGCCTTCTGATACTGCTTCAGACCCACGTAGATGGTTCCTCTGCCGGGAGTGGGGCAGGAGGGGTTGTGTGAAGGGAGGGGGCTGACAAAGAGGAGGGGGAACGAGGACAGACAAGCGATAGAGCAAGGAAGAAGCTGACAGTGGGAGAGGAGGAAGAGAATGCTGGTCATGAACCCCCCACCGTCCCCTCCCAAAAAAAACAAAAAACAAACAAACATTATTTGTAGCAGCACAAGAATCTCAATCCATTCAAGAAGCTCACCCGTAGAAGCAGTACAGAAGAAAGTCCCGGTGCACCAGCCCCGTCTTCTTGGGGTCAATATCGAGAATATCCCCCTGCAGCAGGTCCCCTCCCTGGCGGTACAGCTTGGCGAGCAGGCAGAGCTGCAGGCAGTCGGCGTGTTGCGGGGTGAGGTGCTCCGCTGTGGTGCACTGCTGCACCTTGCTGATCGCCCACCGTAGAGGCAGGACGCCTCGAGCGTACTGGGAGTGGGAGATGAGCTGGTCTCGCAGGCGATGGCACAGGGTGGCGACTGGGAGGCGGGGGGGGGGGGGGGGGGGGGGGGGGGAGGTGAGCGTGGGAGGGGGAGAACAGAGAAGGTGAGAGATGAGAAGCTACCCTCTCTGGCGGTACAGCTTGGCCAGCAGTGAAAGGAGGTGAGGGATGAATGGAGCAGGCAGAGCTGCAGGCAGTCCGCGTGTTGCGGGGTGAGGTGCTCCGCGGTGGTGCTCTGCTGCACCTTGCTGATCGCCCACCGCAAGGGGAGCACTCCCCGGGAGTACTGGGAGTGTGCGATGAGTAAATCGCGCAAGCGATGGCACAGGGACGCGACTGGGAGGTGGTGTGCAAGGGGTGGGGGAGGGAGGAGGGGGGAGGGGAAGGATCGGGCGGAGTGTGAAGAGAGGGGCTAAAATGAGCAGTCAGATCAGAGCTGCAGGCTGCCCGCGTGTTGGGGTGTGAGTGAGGTGGTCCGCGCTGCTGCTGCGCTGCAGCTTGCTGGTTGCCCACCAGCGTAGAGGGAGAACCCCCCGGCAGTACTGCGCGTGGGAGACCAGTAGATCGAGCAGGTGATGGCACAGGGAGGAGACTGGGAGAGACGGGGGGAAGAGGAGGGGGAGGGGAGGTTTGGGAGTGGGGAGGTTTGGGAGTGGGGAGGTTTGGGAGTGGGGAGGTTTGGGAGTGGGGAGGTTTGGGAGTGGGGAGGTTTGGGAGTGGGGAGGTTTGGGAGTGGGGAAGGAGGGCCGCTTGGTTTGATTTGACTTGGAAAGGGGAGTCGGATTGCAAGCAACTCACACTTTTCAGGCGTGAGGGAGACCTGAGTGGGCGAGGCCACTTTTTTTAATTTGATGATCGCCCCCACCACCTGCTCCCACAACTCAACTACCCAGGTGCAGTGTGCTGCATGCGGCTTTGCTGCACAGGTGCATGCTCTTACACTTTTCAGGCGCGAGCGCGAGCTGAGTGGGAGAAGCCGCTTTGATGAAGTTGATGATCGTCCCCACCACCTGCTCCCACAACGCGCCCGCCCGGTGCCTAATGGGGGTGCTGCTCCCACAGACAACTAGTGAGCCCACTGCAACTCACACTTTTCAGGCGCGAGGGCGAGTTGAGTCGGGGAAGCCACTTTGATGAAGTTGATGATCGCCCCCACCACCTGCTCCCACAACTCGCCTACCTGGTGGTTCCTGCGCTGCTCCCCTAGCCCCCTAATAAAATTCCCAAGGGACTGCACTGCATGTGGCTGTTGGGGCACACGAGCGATCTTCTCGCTAAGCAACTCACACTTTTCAGGTGCGAGCGCGAGCTGGGTGGGAGATGCCACTTTGATGAAGTTGATGATCGTCCCCACCACCTGCTCCCACAACGCGCCCGGTGCCTGCGCTGCATGCGCATCACTGCAGGGGGAGGGTGAGAGAAGAGGGCGTGGGGGGTGAAGGGGTTGGAAAGCAAGGAAGGAGGGGAGAGAGAAGGGAGAAAGCGATGCGAAGACTACACCCATGCGGCGCATCATAAGACTACTTCCGTCCAACCTCTTTCCTTTTCACTTCCTTCCTCCCCCCCTCACTTCCCCCCTGCTCCTTTTCTTCCCCCCAGGAAAGCGCGCTCACAGGAAGAAGAGGAAGGCGAGAGAGTGCGGCGCAGGATCTTCCCCTCTCTCTTCCCTCCTTCCCCCCTCCCCTCTCCACCCTCCTCCCCCCCCCCCCCCCCCAATTCGCACATTTCCCTTTTCCCCCCACCCTCCCCCCACAGACTCACAGAAAGAAGAGGAAGGCAAGCGAGTGCAAGGCGGGATCAAGCGACGCGAGCAGCGTGTCGAGCTGCGGCGCGTGCTTCGCGAGCGCGTCCTCCGCGCCGCGCAGCACCTCCAGCAGGTGCGCCAGGTCGCTCCCCTTTTTCCACCAGCACGGGGTCTCTCCCCTTTCCCCCCTTCCCCTTTCCCACCAATTCACCCACTCACTTCCCCACTTCCCCCTCCCACGCTTTCCCCCCCCATCCGCCCAAATCCCCTCCCCACCCTTCCCCCACAGACTCACAGGAAGAACAGGAAGGCGAGAGAGTGTAGCGCAGGATCGAGCGACGCGAGCAGCGTGTCGAGCTGCGGCGCGTGCTTCGCGAGCGCGTCCTCCGCGCCGCGCAGCACCTCCAGCAGGTGCGCCAGGTCGCTCGCGCTGCCCGACAGGCCCTGCGCCTGAGTTACCACCTTCTCGAGTGCCTCCATCGCCACTCGCTTCGCCAATACCTTCGTCACTCCACACGTCACTTCTACTCGTCAATCGCGTTGATTTGATCCGTCGAATATATTCGTAGAGCTCCTTGATCTGTTTGAATTTGAAACGACACTATGAGTAAAATCCTACGGCTGAAACTTCGGCTTATGGTCCTAGGACTGGAAGGAAGCGCTAATGACTGCGAATTCCGATTCAAATTATAGGCGGTGCGAGTCTGTTCTTGACCAGCGTAATGCTGCGGCGACCGAAAGCCTGACGAATCTGGGCCGCAGATCCCGCTCACCCTAATGGTCGGGAAACGTCGCTTGCAGCGGCTCGGATTTATGGGCAGGAGGTTGAAGAGACAAGGCACAACTCGGACTTCTGGTCCTCGATTTTGGCTGCTTCGATATAGAGCAGCAAATCTCTGAAGTGGAACCAACCTAGTGTGTTTTTTAACAGCTCAACCCTGGGGCTTCAAATGCTAAGGGTCAAACTGACTGGTAACATCTTGGTGGGCCATTACTCGGAAGAAACGTTCGTCAACGCAACTGCAACATGGTAACCACCTACTAGAAGAAAAGCCCCTATCGATTGATGCATGGTTCGCAAAGCCCAGCCTTGCCAGTGGTAGCTTCGATCCCACCATCGCAAGCCAGACAACCTCTCCCACCACCTCCCATCCTTCCCCCTGCGCACTAGTGCCAACTCCATTGCCACGTGCTGGGTGAATTCACAGAAAGGGCGCACAACACGCTCAAGAAATGTATGGATACAAGCACACAGTGGAGCACAGCAATCGACGGATACAAGCGTGGACCGCAAGCAAGCAATTAGAGAAGAAAGGCCAGCAAACGTTTACCTTAGGCAAGACAGTGGCTTGAGTGCGGGTCTTGGCACAGTCAAACGGATGCGACACCACCGACGCCACCGCTGCTGCCACTGCCGCTTCCAACCCTTGCGTCAACGCATACCAATACCCATTCCCCACACTCCCCCTCCCCATGTCTCCACCACCCACTCCTCCTCCCTCCGTCCTTTCCTGCTCCTCCTCCCCATCCCTCTCACTCTTCCTCCTCTGAAGCTCCTCCAGTTCCCTCAATCCCTCCTCTATAGTCACCCACCCTCCAAAGAACACCGCTCCGAAAAGCGAGTCCCGAGTCACGCCAGCTCGAAGCCCTCGCCACAGCTGAGCTGCCCCCTCCGCCCTCACTCCAGCCCTTGCGGCTTCCCACGGGGACGAGGCAGGGAGGTAGGGCGACGGGACCGGTGTCCAGGGGTAGCGGGCGAGGGAGAGGGAAAAGGTGGTGGGCGGTGGGGGGTTAGGGGGAGGGGGGGTGGTAGGGCCACGCAAGGCTGCAGAGAAGTGCCTCTGGTGAAGGGCTTGAGTGGAGGTGAGGACGGTGGGAGGAGGCGAGGAGGAGGAAACGAATGTGCGCTTGTGAGTTGTGCGGTGAGGGCGGTTAGGTCGAGAGTTGGTCTGTCTGTGTGTGTGCGGATGGGGCAGCTTGTGCTTGGGAAGAGAGGAGCCAGTCCGTGACTTCTGACTGGGGTTGGAAGATTGATTGATGGTGGCGGATTGACCGGAGGAGGTATGGTTGGGGGAGATTTCGCTGGGGGAGGGCTTGCCTAAAGAAGAAGAGGTTGGTTGGGAAGGAGTCGAGGGGCGGTGGATGCGGATGGAAGGGCTGGGGAGGGAGATGGGGTGGGAGGGCGGGACAGGTGGAAGCAGGGGAGTGGCGAGCAGCAGGCGGGTTCTGAGGAGGTCGAATGGTGTGGAGAGCAGGGACTCTGTCGCCCCGGCTATGGCTCCTGCTAATGCTGCTTGAGGTGGGGAGATGGGCATCCAAGAAGGCAGACCATCTGGATTGTGCGGGGGGAATGGGGAGTGGGGGGGGAAGAGAAAGGGGATACGAATGGGGACAGCAGAAACAGCAAAGTTTCAGGTGAAGCACGTAGAGCAGAGACTCTGTCGCTCCTGCAATGGCTCCTGCTGCTGCTGCTGCTTGAAGCGGGGAGATGGGCAGCCAAGAGGGCAGACCATCTGGGTTGGGGGGGGTGGGGGGAAGGCGAGGGGGGGAGTGAAGGGGAATATGAAGGGTTATGACGAAAATTATTAAAACAACGACCAGGCGTGAAGAGCAAGGATTCTGACACCCCGGCTATGCACCTGCTGCTGCTGCTGGTGCTTGAGGCGGGGAGATGGGGAGCCAAGAGGGCAGACCATCGGGGTAAAAAGAGGGGAAGGAGGGGACGGAAGAGGACAAGTTAACAAAGGAACAGGCTGCTGCTGCTCAAGGGGGGAAAAGACAGCATTATGCTCAACCGCATTGAACCGTACCCGTGCTGAGTGAGTTGACTTGCTTGATGAACTAGAAGACCACGAGGAGAACGCGAGGTGAATGGCAAGGCAGGAAGGAAGGAAGGTGGACTCACCCATTTGGTAGGCGGCGGCAAGATGGTAGGTGGTGTAGCGGGCTGCTAGCGATGGCAGATGCCCCGCGATATGCGGTGAAAACCCCGTGAACGCGGCTGGCAGGGAGAGTGGACGATGGAAAGAGCAGAGGCAGAAAACTCAGGCGGACGAATGCGTAGAGCCTTCTCCTTCAGGCGCCTTTGCCTTCCATCGGTGTTGCTTCACTCTAGCAACTCGCATGATGAAGACAGAACTGGACCGCTGAGAAAGGGCGGAGACTAAGGGATAAGAGGGAGGGAATGGGGTGGAGAAGGGGAGGATGGTGAGAGAATGGAGAGAAGGGGAGTAGGGGAGAAGGGGAGGGAGGGACAAGGGAAAATGGGGGATGGAAACATGAAGGCATTGAGGGTTGGAGTGGTACCTCTACTTCTCCAGTTGAGACCGCTGGTAGCAGCTGCTCTTGAGGCTGCTGCTGTTCCGCTTCTCGCCAGTCCACCAGAAGATCCTCCGCCTGGTCCCCCCGCGATCGTACTGCCCTGCACGGCGCCTGTCTGTGCGACAACCGCGTGTGCGACGCTGGCCTGTGCGACACCCGCCTGCGCGACGGTCTTCGCGACATCGAGAGGGTATGTGAGGGCGCTCGCCACCACGGCTGAAACAGCTCCTGCTGCCACGTGTCGGTAGAAGAGAGGCGATCTGGATTCGCCGTCCATGACAGAGGGCTTTACCCGAACTGGCGACTCAAGAAGGTTTACAACAGTGCTCCGGCTCGACCAAATGCCTGCCAATTAGAGTCTCGCGGCAATCACGCTTGCTCGACTCTGAGCGATCTGCGTGGATCTCTGACCACTGACTTCTTCTTTGTAAAAACGAAAGCAGCCGCATTCCTCAGCTGGTGGCACGAGTCAAGCACTGAAGCCTAGCGCTTCGCCCTAGCGAACCGACCCCTGGCGCTCTGATCCGCTGACTTGTGCAGCTGTGTCATGCTTCGAGGATCCGTCAATCGCACGCGACTTGAATTGGAGGAACGGGAGGTGTGGGAGAAGGGGACTGGTTTGCTGCTAGATTTTGTACTCGCCAGAAAATCACCCGATTGTTGCCCTTCACTACACCTCAATGCAGAACGTCGATACAAGTTCCCCACGCAATCTCAATCCCTCTTCTCTGGCCACTCCTGCTTCAACTCCGGCATTCCACGACAGCAGCCCAGCGCACCTTTGCTCAGTTTCCTCAGCTGCGATCCTCTCTCTCCTGAGGAGGCTAGGCCCGTCTGGTGTGAAGGCCCCGCTTCGCCATGGCTGAAAGCACGCTCCTGGCCCGGTCACCGGCCAAATACTCTTCTTTAAGCGCCTTTTCCCCCACCCGCATTCCCCGTTCCGCCTGCTCCCCCTCGCCTCGCGCGGCATTGCCGTCCAGGATTCCAATCACCGCTTTTGCAGCAACCCGGCATGACTCCCCCCCATCTCCCCTCTTAACCCGGCCTCGCGCCTCACCGCTCGGAACCTCTCAGCGCGTCACCCGTTTATCGAGAGTACCGCTCCTTAGTCCAGCGCCCGGGCAGAGTCACCAGACTAGCAACGTTTCGGAATATTCCCGTAGCGCGGAGTGCAAGCGGCGCGGAGCGGTCGTTTCCCGCGCGTTTCTGCTCCCGGTGGATCCCTGGTCGCCCAACGTCGACTCCCAGAGCATCGCGTCGTCGCTGTTCGCCGTGTCGCTCTTCCCGTACCTCGGATTCCTCTACTTCCTCACGCGATCTGGGACGGCGCCGCGCATCACGCTGTTCGGGTTCTACTTCCTGCTCGCATTCGTCGGTGCCACGAGTGAGTGCGCACGTACTGGGAGCTGTAGCGGCATGCTTCATTAAATCTACCTTTTGCTCGCATTCTTAGGCAGCACGAGAAAGTGTAGGCACATATGAGCGGCATGTGTAGGACGTTATAGAATTTCCCGCATTCGTCAGTGTTACTAGTGAGTGCGCTGGTAGGGGCTTATGAGCTGTATTGGCATCCTATGTTCTGTTCAATTGTCAATCTGGCATGCCTCGATTTCACACGTCATTTCCCCCGCATCGTCTGACCGTGCAATTACCATGCCACAAGTGAACATCATATCTCCCTCTTTTCTTCCCTCTCACCCACCCCCGTCACTCTATCTTTTCTCCCTCCCGACTCAATTTCCCTCCGCCCTTCTCTCCTGCACCTTTTGCCCACCGTCCATACCCTCCCTCCTCGAATGCCTCAATCCCGTACTCCCTGTTGCTTCACCGTCCTTTCTCGCTTCCTCTGTCCCACACTTTCCTTCACTTTCTCTTATCACTTGCCACTAAAATCTCGTTTTTGTTTTTAACAAACCTTACTTCCCCCCTCTCCCCCCCCACTCCCACTCCTCCCCCTCTCTCCCCCCCACTCCCACTCCTCCCCCCCTCTCCCCCCCACTCCCACTCCTCCCCCCCTCTCCCCCCCACTCTCACTCCTCCCCCCTCTTCCCCCCTCTCCCACCCCCCTCCCACCCCCCTCCCGCTCCTCCCTCCCTCCCACCCCAACTATGATCACGAAACCTTTTTTCTCCTATGACAGTTCCTGCCGGAATATATGGTGAGCTCCTCTCCACTCCGTATAAGGCCACACCTTGGTCCTGTTGCCCTCCTTTGTGTGTAGTCGCTAATACATGGAAGTGGCGGTGTAAATTAACTTATCTTTGTTCGTTTTTCGTCTTCATGAGTGGGCTATCTTGCAGTACCGTAGCGTATGGACGCTATGCATATCTATTGCAAGGATTACAGAATGGTGTAATCCTGTTGCCATGTTGTGCGTTAACCATGCGCCATTCTGTGATGCCTGTTTGAATGTGTCCTTCCATGCAGCCAAAATTCACTATGGGACATCTCTATCTAATGTAGACTATCTACACGGCAGTGCGGAGTCCTTGCTTACAATCACAAACCTCCTGATTGTGTTCGGCCTACGCAAGGCCCTCCGGGATGAGGAGGCTAGTGAGGTTCAGGTTGGTGAATCTCCTGAAAAAGAATCTAGTGAGCGTGTAGTGGTGTCTGACAAAGTTGAGTGACATGAACCTGTGAACTTGGGCCATCCAACCCAACTCAATCAACTTGGCATCATCAAATGCACCACGACCTACTACAAGACGTCAAAAACCCTAAACAAGGGAATTTTGGTAAAACATGCTCAACATTGCTGTCCATGTACCACCCTGTATCTCATCAAATGTATTTTGAGAAAATATTCCAGTTATACATTGTCGTTTGCAGCCTATGCCATTGTGAATTGCCGCGTTATACATGCGCAGACATACACGATATAATCTTGTATTGCACGAAGGGTCTTTCTCACCACACAGGCACCATATCTCATATCTCGATTTGCTTCGCGCACTTGAGCAAAGAGTCACCCAGGTGATGCATGCTCGAACGCACGCCCCGCTGCACCTCCTTCCTTTCCTCGAATCCCCACGTGTCCTTTCGTGCTCCCTCACAAACCAGTGCTCATGGCGTCCCGAGATACCCGGACTGGGACGTCAGCGAGAAGTGCACCTTTCTGGAGACGAGGGTTTGAGGAATGGCCGTCAGCGAGTCCAGGGTGACTGCCCTGGTTACCATCCGTTCTATAACAACACCTTTCCAGTATGTGCGCGTGCAAATGGTACTGCCTGACTTACAACCTTTAGATGAAACGAGTTCGTGATTTCTTGATATCAGCCGCCAACGACGCCGTGTTTACTTAGCTCATCTGTCGCCATGGTTCGAGGGAAAGCTTCCGCAAGAATCCAAGTCCGAACCACCCGAACAATAACCAGGTCTCTGAGGCCACGGCCTGCGATCCACTATGCACAGCCTGGTAGAGGCCGTGGGATTTCAGCGAGGGGAAGAGGAGGAAGAGTCGAGCATCGACAGGCAACACAGCAGCCACCGTCGGTGGTTCTGGAATCGACCGAAGTGAGCGTCACGACAGCTGAGGCCGTTTCAGGTTCCGAAACTGCTGCGACCACTCCGTCCAGTACCCGGGGGCTTCCTGCAGCCGTGGTGGATGCGGCGTTTGCTGCAGCGGAAGCAATTGCCACTGGTGTTCCTGTGACTGGAGGCGTTCGTGCTCTTGGCGCTGCTGCTGACGTGGCAGATGATCTCCCTTCGCTCGTTGACACGTCCGCACGCCGGGATTTGGGCGAAGAGGCGTGGAAGAAGGGTACGAGAAGAGAGATCCCAATAACAGAAGCGGATTTTGAGCGTGAAGGCATACAGGAAGATGAGGAGTTATTGGATAAAGATGAGCCTATGGAAGCGCTGGTTAACGTGATGTTTGGGGAAGAACCTGGCGCAGATGGAGGAGGAGGCGAGGATGTGGAAGAAGTGGAAAGATCACCACCGCTGGAAAGTCAAGCAGCTTCTGCGAAAGACAAAGCAGCAGAGGAGACGAAGTCGTCACCAGCAGCAGCAGCAGGGGAAGAGTTTACAGGCAGCGGCAGTAGAGCTGCTGGTCGCTGGTCCTTGAGGTCTCATGAGAAGACAGCGGAGAATGAAGAGAGGAAAATTCAGGAGGTTCAGGAGCAAGAAACCAGACGGGTCAAGGTGCGGATGGGCAACAACGAGGTGACATATGAGATCAATACTACAGCTCCTCTGAAAAACATGTTTGCACTCTTCTGCCAGCGACTGCATTTACCTGAAGGCGGGGTGACGTTCGTCAAGAATGGCCGTGTTATTCGGGGAAACCAGACCGTGCTGGAAGCTAAGCTTGCTAATAATTCCATTATTGAAGGCTATGTTCCAAGGGACGGTGGGTAGTAGCATGGAACCTTTTCTTGTTGCTTCCATTGCCCATGTTCTCTGGGGTAATAGTAGTTAGGTAGGTATGTAATGTTTTCTTGTTGGTGGAGTATCTACATTGCTCATGTTCCCCATTAATGGCTTTGATAAGTAATTATCATCTTACACCAAAATATTCAAAACGCTTCTTTTGATACTTCACCTTTTTCCTGTACCAAGATTGTTTTTGTAGCAAAAAGATAACTTCGATATGATGGTGTATGAATGTAATTCGACAAACGCCTAGTAGTGGGCTAATAAACTGTAGCAAGTGAAGTGATTGCGCGTCCTGCGGAAGGAGCGCTTCGAATTCCCAACGGGCACACCTAGAAAAGGGGCTTCTTCGGGTAGGTCCGTTCCCAAGTTCCTTCAGTTGCTTAGTATCCGCAAAAACTAATAGCTTGGTTAGAACCATGGCATTCCCTGGACATGAGAAGCATGTTTGCTGCGATGACTCGTCCGCTCCTGTCAGTGCGACGTCATTGGATGAGCTGCATTCTCTTCAAAGAAAGTCAACTTCAATTTCAGGCGGTACTAGCGCCGAGTCAATCAGGTACACATCTGATTTCCAACATAGATGCTCAAGCATTCAATCAATGCTTCTAACATTTAACATCTTTTCAGTGCCTCCTTGGCGTCTCATGCGCGGGAGCGGGGCCCTAACGTCATTAAGGGAGATCCGAACACCGCTGTTACTAAGGATGGTCATGTGCATTTTGTCCCGTCTGACTACGTCAGTGATTTTAACCTCAAAGCGACCCACGTACTTCACAATCTTTCACAAGCAGGTAGTTAACGCACTGACCAGTTCCGCACTGTTTTGGATTTGCAAAAACTTCAGACGCACTCCTTCTTGAACAGAGCTTTACGAGCTCGCGATCAAGGATGAAAAGG